AGTCGAGACCCCCTTAGTCCCCACAACACACTCCCCCCATGCGGGGGACAATGGTGCCTTCAGCCCCCAGACATGAATGGGGCCTTTGAAAGCAGCACGCCATGGGGTCAGCGCCGGCCACTGGGTCCACGGGGCCGCCCAGCCTTCGGATCAAGGAACGGAATCCCCAGCCTGGGGAAGGAGGGGAGCTTGTGTGGGTGGAGAAGGATCCTTCGGGTCCCTGTCTGATGAATCTTAGGAAGAGATCCATCCCAAATCAGGCCGTTCTTAGTAAAGAAACATTCTAAGAAATATTGAAGAGGCTGAGGAGGAAAGAATATCCCCTCCCTGTGCCAGGGGAGGGGATGGTTCTCTGTCCCCTTCTCCGGAGCAGCAGAGCCAACGACATGGGGAGGGAATCTATCAAGATTTTGCTACCTCTTCTCTCCTTCCCCAAATCAGGGTTCCACTGTTTAGATGGGGCAGTTCCCCACCTTCTTTCAGTGCTCACGTCCCTTCATCTTGGGCTGTCCCTGAGGCCTGATCCCTTTTTCCTTCTTCTGTCTTCCCTCGGGCTCCTGCATTGTACAGCCTATCAGGTTTCTATGGAAACGGGCTAGGAAGGCTCTGCCAGAAGGCCAAGGCCACTACAGCTCTTGAGGGGAGGGGAGGATAGAAATTGAAAGTGAGGAGCAGGAGGTGAGTTCTAGTTAGCCCCAAAGGCCAGTGAGACTTTCATGGGCTGGGGCAGAGGGTGGATAGATGGGGGAGGGGCAGAGAGGCACAGGGACAAGGGATAGAGATGAAATTGCATATTTGAGAGCTTCCTCCTTCTCTTATTTGCCAGTATACCAGACATCTAGACAAGCTCCGTTAGAGGGGAAATTAGTGGGTGAAGGAGTGGGGTATGAGTAGCAAGAACTTTGACCATTTCTCCCTTGCATGAAACTCAAAAAAATTTTTTTCACTCCCTTGTGGAGAAGGAGGCCTCCAGAACTAAAAGGTGCCTAAGAAATGGAAAAGGAAGTCAGAGTGAGGAATGAGTTCAAGAGTGTTTAGGAATTGCCTCTGGTCAGGTGATAGCCAGATACCTAGGCATGCCAGGTACTTTAATGATATCTTGTCCCTGGAACCTCCACTGAGGAGTTAGGGGTAAGGCAGGCCTCGAATGTGAGTTTTTTTCTTTCTGTCCATCCCCTCAGGATATTGGGCTATAAAAGGAAGAAAGTGGGGGTGGCAAAGTGGGAGTTGAGCAGGGCCTGGGGAGGGATGGGTGCAGAAAGGGAATCTCTGAGAAGTGTTAACTGTCAGTTCCTAGAACGTGAATCCTAGTCCTCACTCCTTCTCAATGTTCCAACCTAAAGCAAAGTTGCTTTTTGGTCAGCGACTATTGGAAATCTGAGTCCTGGGAGAATGTGCTGTGGGGTCCCTTGGGAAGGGGACTCTCGGGTTATCAGAAGGTTCAGCAAAGTTTCCCTGGGGGAAGAGGGGAGTGGAAGGGAATCTCCTGGGAGACTAGGGTTCCCTGGATCTAAGCCACTGGCTCTCCTTCGGCCACAGTCCCTAGCACAGTCGTCTTGGTGTTTGCTTATTTTGGTTATTTTTTGATCAGATATTTTGGCACTGTGCACACTGCCTCCTGTTGCCATGGCAGCCGTGACAGGGGCTGAGGCACCGTGAGAAAAATACCAAAATTAATGAGTGAGCGAAAGTGCAGCCGAGAGAAAAACAAGGTTAAAAAAAGAGTTAAAACGGTAATGAAAACAGGCTTCCCAGCTCCACAGCAGAGCAGCTGCTCAGGCCTCCATGGAGCAGCAGCCCCCACCCAACCTGGGGCTCCTGGAATCTCCCAGACCTCCAGGCAGGACTCACTCTCTTCCCCTAACCTGCTAGTCTCAGATCCAGCAAAGCCACTTGGGGACCATCCTAAGCAGATCAGTTCCAATCACAAGTAGCATCCTGCCTCCCAGAACAGCATCTCAGCGCACAGCTTCTCATCTCCTAGACAACGGAGTCCCAGATACAGCCCCCACACAACAGTGGTCCAGCTATATTACCAAGAAATGGCCTCCCAGCTACACCCGAGCTTTGGAGCTTTAACTGCAGGCATAACAGCATCTCAGATAGTCTTGCACGTAAGAACAGCCCAGCTACAATTCTGGGCAATAACATCCTAGCTATAGCCAATCCCCAGTATGCTGTCATCACAACTATAGCTTCAGGACCAATAGAATCTCAGCTACAATCCTATACACAATAGTAGCTCTGCTCTTATCCCAGGTAACATCCTGCTTCCCAGGTACAGCTTCCTAGCAACAGCTTCTTATCTCCTAGGATCTGGACAGTGGATTCAGCTACAGCTCCACCTACATCTTGTTAATGGAGAACAGCTTCTTGGCTACAGCCAGTCTCAGGTGTGCCAGCCCAACACCTATAGCTTCAGGTACAATGGCATTTTCATTATAGCCATCCCTCATTATGCACCCATGCACATACATACGTGGTTTGGCAACCACCTTTGTGGTAATCTGATTAGCTATAGCTTAGGCACATCAGCATCACATCACTGCAACAGTGTCCCAGCTTCAGTCAGAAGCAACAGACTTTTTATTAGTTTCAGGTCCTACAACATCCCTGTCCTCTTCGCTACAGTCCATCCCACGTACCTGCACACCACATCAAGCATCCCAACCATTTCCACACCTGATATCAACCAGACTCCATTCTCTGGATACAGTCCCAGCTAGACTCTCAGATTCAGGAGCCTCCCCCAATGCTTCACATGCCAACCAGTCCTCCTCCTAGTTTGGTGCAAGGCCAAAAGCCTAGCTTCTCTCTTCAGATACCACCTCTTTTATTCTCCAATAATCTTCCTTCCAATCCTAGCCCTCTTTCCCAGTTCTCCTTCTTAAGGAAGACAGGACCCAGTTCCCATACCTACATTGCCCCATTAGGTCCCCACATAATCCAGCCTGGTAGCTGGAGTAGGAGGGATAGAAAGCAAAGAAGGGTAGGCACACCGTGATGTGGCTGCCTTGGCCCAGTTCTGCTCCAACCACTTGGTGCAGGATTTGGGTTTGATGGTGATGGAGCAGGGAGGATGGAGGAGAACATCTGGGAGATTAGCATTTCCTGCCAGGCTCGGTGGCTGCTGAGCCTGCTCAGCCCTGAGCAAGGGAGGAGAACAGAGGAGCCTTTGAATGGCTCCCAGCAAGCAGCCTGGGGAGGGTTTGCTGCAGTGGGCAGCAGGCACACGCTGGGGGCAGGGAGGCTGGGGCAGCCCTGCTGTGGAAGATTTCTTCTCTCTGGGCCACTGATTTCCTCCTTGTTGCTATACTCAGCCACAGGAGCAAGTACAAGCTTTGCAGGGACCAAGAGGCCACTTAAAGGACAGATCCTCCTTTCACTAGCATATAGCATTTTCAATCCAGAGCCCTGCACTTGGGATCCTGGGCCAAGGACTAGAACTGAGGGTGAAAATAGAGTCCAGTCCAGAAAGGGTGAGAGACTTCTCAGGGTGAGATCTTGGGGAAGTTCTTGCTAGTATCCTTACCTAGCCACAGAATCCACCGTTACCTGAAGACTATCCATAAAGAGGCCATAGCTGGGAAGAGGTGGAAGCAGAAGAAAAAGACAAGGGATCTTAGAATGGTAGGAATGGAGCACACAGAGAGGACAGGAATGAGGACACAGAAGCCATGGCAGCAACCCAGAGACGGGTCCTCCCATATCGAGGGCTTTTTCCATACCCAGTACCAGGCCTTGCTAGCAGATAGCCCTCATCGTTCTGACCTAGAACACCCTGCCTGGGACTACAGGTGGCACCGGCGGGAGGTCTGATTGAATTGGGGCACTTGGCAGCCCGGGGTACAAACCCTGAGGAAGGAGCTCCTAAGCGGCTTAGAGACCTCCAGATGGCGCCAGAGAGCCAGAGCTGAGCGCGAGAAACCGAGTGTTGGAGTGTGTGAGACACTGCGTGTGACACCGTGTGTGACTGCTGAGTGTGAGTGTGACAGCGAGCGTGTGGCACTGTGAGGGCGTGTGGCACAGGCCGTGACACTGCGCGGCCTCGAGGGGCAGAGTCCCGTGTGACTCTCTGAATGTGTGTGTGTGTCCCGGGCAAATGTGTGTACCCGCAGCACTCCACCGCCCGGTGGGCAGGTGATTAGGGGACCCTCGGAAGAATCTGAGATCAGGCCCGCCACTTCATCCTCACACTCGTGTACCTTCCTCATTTCACTCGAGAACTCCCAGATCCCATCCCCCCTCCCACGCTCCCCTCCACGGTCCTCCCCCCTCCCGCCCCACGGCTGCTGCGGCCACCGAGGCTGACCGCTCTGCGGCTTCGGCCGGAGGGGGAGGGGTGCACTTCCCCGGAGCGCAGCGGGAAGGGAAGGCCGCACGGAGTGAGTCGGGGGTCTGGGAGGGAGGAGAGTGGACCTGGAGGGCAGGTGCAGGGGAAGTAGGCCCTAGGGAGAACACTTCCCCAGCTCGGACTTCCCAGGGGCCAGGATGGGGGACAGGTGTCGGAGAGCGCAGGGAGGGGGGATCGCGAAGGTCCGGGACAGAGGCTCGGGTGAGGTGCAGACGGGGCGGGGGTGGGGGGTAGGGGGAATGTGTATCCCCGTCTCAGGCAAGGGAGCCCGCAAACGCGACGAAGTCAGATCTGGGGGAGCGGTGCTGAGGGTCCCTTCCCAGCGGGACCGGAGC